ACTCGTAGAGCGACTTAAAACCGGGAGTATCGTAGATTATATCATCCAAAGAGTTCTACATCTCCAAGGTTTTATGGACACCTTTAGGGAAAGATGTAAAACAAAACGGTAAATATCCTGGCTTTTTTTGGTCCACCAGTTTAAAAACTGAAAACTTTATGGAAGTAGAGAAGAAGATGAATTCTTTGGAATTAGACTTAACTGCTCAACACATGGATAGTTTGATAAGGAATCTTTCGGGTTTTAACCTTGAAGTTGACAAGATCGAAAGAGATGGGAACTGTTTTTTCAAAGCAGTTGCCTCACAGCTCAATAGACACTCGAGGGAATACAGGGAACATATCGAAGATCACTGCACTTCCCTTGGATTTGGAATTAGTGAAGTTTTCGACACACGTAGACTTAGGGAGCTGTTTGTGAAGAAGTCTCTGATAACATTGAAGAGTACAGAGACTGGATGACAACTAGCGTTAATGGGTTAGAAGACGTTTACAAATTTAGCCAAGACGGATTTTTCGCGAATGAAGTTGATGGTTGATGCGCGAGAGCAACAGCTAAAGTCTTGAAAATCCAATTGTGATTGTTGCCGCTCTCCCTTCTACACCTACGGTACCATTCCTACAACACGAGTTCCTTACCACCACACCTATCTACATTTCATATGATCATTCTGGGCCAGGCCATTATGATGCCACAAAAGGTACTCAATAACTGTTCAATAACCCTAGGTTAAATAAGCAGTTGTAAATTCTGATAATGCTATATACCTCCTCATATATCGAGGTTTGAACCGAAAATTTTTCGAGATCCTCCAGATGTCTTGGCACCTTTATTAGGATGAATTCTCGTACTAGTACTAAGTTGTAAATGCTCACGTTCATGAAATTGAGCCGGAAATCATTTAATGGAGATGCAAAGCGGCTTGGCAAATACTCATTAATAACCACGACACGAAGGCAAATGGCTGTTTTTAGTACACACCAAGTCAGTGAGATAATATAGCACAAAAAAATGATTTTAATCGATTTATTCCTACACGTGTGGGAGTGTGAAACTCGCGAGTTGCTTAGAGGTAAATAGCAAAGGATATTCGGAGTTTCAGTAGCTAATCAAAGCGCACCTTCCACGCTATCCACTACTTTAGTATATATTAATGACCTTAACTTGTCGAAACCTTGTCGAAAACCATTGTATTAATTCTTGACAAAGAAAGAACAGGTTACATGCTACAAGAAGACTAAACAAGTCAATATGAATTTGCTTCAATTTCTGCCATTTGAATTGACAACTTTTTTAACAACTTTATTTGGTTTATAACATAGTACTAACTACACCTCTAGCTTGTAGCATGAGCAAGTTCTAATTAGTGTCTACGTGCAGGGTCAGTCAATGTCAAAGGACGCTCTCCGGCAGTCAAAAAGTGTTTGTTTGACGAAAAGCTGGAAGGAGAGCGGAGTCGAAAAACTAGAGAAAGGAGCAACAGAACAAGAGTAATTCTAAAGTTTTACAATGCCATTGAAGTAGGAGGCCTGAAAGTGCTCGTTTTACAGATTGGTGTTTTTAAATTAAAGGAGTTACTTAGTCCAGTACGGCCGTGAGAAATAAAGTTTGTGAAACTACATACATCAAGGTGAATATGATTAAAGAAGCACTTATAAAAGAATACCAAGTCTTTCAGTTCTCTGTCGTAGGTAAGAGGGAGTAAGTCCAGGGTAATAAGTCTATCTCTGTAGGACATATCACCAATCCGGGTTTGTAAGATCCATCTAGAAGCGCGCCGCTGCACTCACTCGACTTGTGCCTTCAGGGAAACCTGAGCAGGCGACCAGATTTGAGTAGCGTAGAAGAGTTGTGACTTGACTAGCGATAAGTATGGCGCGCACCGGGTAGACACGTCAGTTAGTAATGGACATGTCCGCTTTAGGAGCCCGAGGGAGCTTGTTGTCTCAAGTGGTGATGTTGTATATATAAGAATGCCAAGACAACGTACCCGTAATTGTAACTCTTTGATCTTTTTCCGGGACACCCGCACAAGTTGTGTGTTGTTTAGGATGTAGTCGTAAATCAAGGGAGTTTTCATCCGCGTCACAGTAAGCGTTGTGCATTTGTAGGTGTTGAAGTTGATGTTATTTCCCTTTGACCAGTCATCCACGTTTGCTTGAGTGGTCTGCAGAGACAGGCAATCGCTGACGGAGCTGGACGTTTTTATGCAGCTTGGTGTCATCAGCGTATAAAGCTGCTTAGGGTTAGGGCCCATTGCGATGCAGCACCGTGCAAAACTACCCTTTGAGCTCGACCCGTTAAATTATCAGCGAACCATGCAAATAATTGTCGCGAGACCCCATACGCCCTTAGCATGGTCGAGAGAATGGCATGATCGACTGAGTCGAATGCTCTCGCAAAATCCAAGTAAATCACATTAGTCTGAATATTCTTATCCTACTAAGTAGTGGATAACATTTTTCGTTCAGCTTTGCAGGTTTTCTACGATCGCTTGAGC